ATTTGATAATTTTCAAATTTACTCTCTTGCCTTTTCCCTGTAAGTCTTGATTCTCTTACTGATTAAAAATCTGTCCATCTCAGCCTTGAATACACTTAAAGATCCAATCCCTACAACCTTTGGTGGTGAGGAATTCCACAGATTCACCATCCCCTGAGAGAAATCTCATCTCTGTCATAAATGACTCCATACTGAGATTATCCACTTTGCTCCTAACCCTATTGTTGTTGAACAAAAACAAAGTTGCTGGAAAAGCTCAGCAGGTCTGGCAGCATCTGTGGAGGAGAAAACAGAGCTAACGTTTCGGGTCCGGTGACCCTTCCTCAGAACTGTTGTTGTTGACTGTCCCACAAGGGGAAACAACCTTCAAGCATTGACCCTGTGAGCTCTTAAGAATCTTACTTGTTTCACTAAGATTTCCTTTCATTCTTCTAAACTGCAATAAGTACAAACCTAACCTAATCATCCTCTCCTCATGAGAAAATCCTTCCGTATCGGGAAGCAATATAATAATCCTTCCCACCTAGTTTCGTGTCATCCACAAACTTAGCTATGCACTTGCATTATCCAAGTCATTTATATTGTAAGAAATTTTGGCCTCAGCAATGATCCCTGTGGCATTCCACTCATTACAGGTTGCCATCCTGAAAATACCCACTTTATTCCAACTCTCTGCTTTCAATTAGTTAGCCAATCCTCTCTTCATGCCAAAATACCATCCAAACATTCAATTATCTTAGTAAGTAGCCAAATAAGCAGTACCTTATTGAACCCCTTCATGAAGCTATGCTGAATCTGCTTGATTTATTATGTATTGGTCTGCTATTACATTCTTTATAATAAAGTAACATTTTCCCATGGATAGATATTAAGCTAACTGGCCAATATATGCCTGATATTTGTCTCCGTTTTTGATTAAAGATATTACATTGACCATACTCCAGGTTTCTGGGACTTTTCCCAAATCTAAGGATTCTTGGAAGATTTCTATCTGTGCATCCAACATCTCTTTAGCTACTTCCTTTAAAATCCTAACATGCAAACCATCATGTCCAGGGGATTTATTTGTCTGTTTTTATATTACTTGCTAGTTTATTTTCTGATGTTTTCTGATGTTCTGTCCAGAATTTAACTCCTGTTTCATAGTAAACAAAATGTGACTGGGACGTTAGAGATTACAGATACTGTGGCTTCTGTGCCATTGTTTCTTTGGAGAATTGTCTTGGATATGTGACAGTGGTTTGAATGCAACACTTGGTATACAACAGAACAAAACAGGGCACAACCTAAAAGTCGAATCAGAGATAGTAGGAACTGCAGATGCTGGAGAATCCGAGACAACAAGGTGCAGGGCTGGATGAACACAGCAGGCCAAGCAGCATCATAGGAGCAGAGAGGCTGACGTTTCGGTGTTGGAGTTATACATGCACTTAGGTGCAACTATAGCCGCATGACCATGAGCTGCATCAGGAGCTATTTTGTTGGCTCTCTCTGGGCACAAGCCACTGCTTGGATTTTGCCTGGAATTCAAGATACATAGAAAAAATTACAAAAATAATTAAATGATGGGAACATATTGCACCATTTATTTTTAAAGTGTTACTTGTCCATGGGGTGCAGGTGTCACTGGCTGGGCCAGCATTTCTTGCACGTCAATAATTACCCTAGAGACAGTGGTGGTCAGCTGCCTGGGATATAAGGGCATGCACAGTGCAATTAGGAAGGAAGTCCCAGGATTTTGACCTGGTGGCAGTGAAGGAATAGTGATACAGTTTCATGTCAGAATGGCATGTGTCTTGGAGGGAAACTTGAAGATGGTGGTGGTCCATGCATCAACATACATTAACATCAACATGGTAGAAGTCACAGGTTTGGAAGGTGATGTTGAAAGAATCTTAGTGAGTTACAGCAATGCATCTTGTTATGGTACATGCAGTTGAAAGGACTGAATGTTCTTAGATTGTTAAGGCGGTGGATAGGATGTTAATTGTACAGGCTGCATTGTCTCTGGACGGTGTCAAGCTTCTTTAGTGTCATTGGAGCTACACTCATCCAGACAAAAGAAAAGTATTCCACTTTAGGGGAAAAGGAGGTGAACTACTTGTTGCAAAATTCTTAGCCTCTGTTCTGCTCTTGCAGTCATGGTATATATATGGCTGATAGAGTTTAATTTCTCCTCAATGGTAACCACTAGGATGTTAATTGTGGGGGGAATCAGCGATCATCATGCCTTTGAAGATCAAGGGACAGTAATTAAGATTCCCTATTTTTGAAGAAGGTCTATCCCTAGTATGAACACTACTTCCCACTTATCATCCCAAATCTGAATGTTGTCCAAGTCTTGTTACATATGGACATGAACGACTTCAGCATCTGAGGGGTCAAGAATGGTGCTATACATTGTTTACTGATGATTGACCATCTCTATTTCTGAATTTATGAAGGAACAAAGAGCAGTGATGAAGCAGGTGAAGATTGTGGGGCTTAGGACACTATTCTGAAGAACTCCAAAATACTGATTAGGTTCACACTGGGGACCTTGTGGCAGTGGTGTGCCTATCTCTCTGATCCAGGTTCAAGGTTCAAGTCCCACCTACCCTAAAGGTCTGTAATGACATCGCTGAACAAGTTGTTTAGAAAATATCTACCCTGGAACTAAAATGACTGACCCTTAATAACCACAATCCTTGCGCAATGTATGACCCCAACCAGCGGAGAGCTTTCCTGCTGATTGCCATTGACAGTTTGCTAGGATCCACTGATGGATGTGCTTTCTCAATGGGTGGGGTTGGAGTGCTGGGTGTGGGTGGGATGCTCTTCAGAAGGTCAGTGCAGGCTCGATAGGCTGAATGGACTCTTTCCGCACTGTAGGGATACTATGGTTCTATGCCAATAGAATTCTATACTATGAAAATCACTTGCACATCACCTCTGGACTTCAGTTCTTTGTCTATGTTTGTGCCAAGGTTGCAATGACCATCAGGAGATGAGTGGCCCTGGCGGAATGCAAGATAAGCATTAATGATCAAGTTATTCTTTTTCCAAATGCAATTTGACAGTGCTGTCACCAAATTGGCCGGGTTGGATTTGTCCTGCTTTTTGAGGACAGGGAAGACCTGGGCAATTTTCTGCGTAGATGCTAGTGTTGTACTGGAACTGCCCAGCTAGTGGTGTATTCACATCTGGAACACAAATCTGCCGTACCATTGCCAGAAAGTTGTCAAGGCCCATAGACTTTGTAATATACAGTCCCTTCACCTGTTTCATTTTGACTGTATTAAATTGGTTGAAGAATTGCATCTGTGATGCTAGGGACCTTAGTAGGAGGCCAAAATGAATCGTACACACAGCAATTCAGGGTAAAGATAGATACAAATGCTTCAGTCTTTATATTTAGTCATTTCCCTATTTCTTATATCCTGATAGAGACAGAAATTCTTCAAATGAAAACTGCAAATCAGCCTGACAACATTAAAACAATTATAGTCAGGAGCATGGATATGGAGTAGATACAAAGGGCAACAGTTCCTCAGTTTGCATTGAGATGGAAAATCCTGCCATTTATAGTAATATGAATTGAAGCAGAAGTACATCATGAAGTCCCTGATGTCTGTTACATTCAGGCTCATGGTTATTCCATTTCGGTGATTATGCTCCATTTCCTATGAAGAGGTACTTATCCCCTGGACTTGCATTACTTTGCCCCTACCCAGAACTTTTGGCATCAACTTTGGCACATTTAATGTTAGCAGTTGGTCTGGTCAATGGTACATCTCAAATGATTCCAAAGTACTGGTGAAAACTGTCGAAAGAAAACTCATTCTGGACTTGGTCAGCCTTGGAAATATAACTAGGTTTTGGCTTTGGAAAATTTACATTTGAGATTTCTTTCTTTTTCATCTATATCAGTATCTGAGGAGTCACGGCTAGTGCTGAATATTGTGCAATCATTGGCGAACATCCCCACTTCTGATCTTATGATGGAGGGAAGGTCATTGATGAGGCAGCTGAAGCTGGTTAGGCCTAGGACAATACCCTGTGGAACTCCTGCAGAGAAGTTCTAGAGCGGATACAAAAATAGAAATTGCTGGAAAAGCTCAGCAAGTCTGACAGCACTTGTGGAGAGAGATCAGAGTTAATGTTTCGGGTCATGACCCTTCCTCAGAAGTAGAGTTGGGATGACTGACCAACAACTAAAACCACCTCCTTTTGTTCCACCTTCTTTTGTGCTAGGTATGACCATCATCAGCACAGTGTTTTCTCTACCAATTCGCACTGACTCCAGTTTCGCTCAGCCTCTTTGATGCCACATTTGGCCAAACATTGCTTTGATGTCAAGGCTCACCTGACCTCTGAGTAATCTGAGTGACCCTGACAGCATCTAAACTGAGCATCAGTGAGCAGATCATTGCTAAACTCATGCTGCTTGATAGCAATGTTAACAACTGCAAGACATATGGCAGAAACCTAACTAGCTGTCCTACCTGTATCTTAACAGCTTTAAAGACAGAAAACACATTATTTCAATGCTTAAATGTGTGAGCAAGTATGACATTATATTTCATAGCTGAGAGAATTGCTGTTGGATAAAGAGATTCTTGAATTGAAGAGGCAGCTGTTATACTTTGTTCCATTCTGTTCCCAGGATTGGAGATCCGGCTGCACTTCACTCTGTTCTGAGACTCAGCTGTTTGTTTTTTTTAATCAAATGGCACCAAGTCTGTCAGCCAATTGCTCACACCTCTGAGATGTTGTAACTCTGGAAGTTCAAGCAGCTGTGAGGGCTGAAAAATAGTGAAATTATTGTTAAAACACGGGGAAATGTTTCCCCTGGCTGTGGGGGGCACGAGCAAGTGACACTGCCCCAACCAACACTGATCTGACATTCAGTTAAAGAAGGGCTGATGTAGAATTCATCAGAAATGTTAAAAGGCACTTTCAGAAAAAAATATAGTGCTTATCGTCACCTACTATTAAAGTTACACTTGGAAACAGTAACATAAACATTATTAGTTTTAATCAATCAAACTTGGCTCCTAGGCCCAAGGCCCCCAAACCCCATCCTTGCCAGGATCGCACTTCGGATCTTCCGCTGGGTAAGTGATAGGCACGGCACTGTCCTGATAGTATTGAAGTCTTGACAGTAACTTCTCAACAATGCTGGGATATTTGTCTGAAAGGTCAACTCGCTCCTCTGGATCAGCTGCAATGTTAAAAAGCCAAACGTTTTTCTTCGGTGGGTCTGCTGATAGCGGCTGCATTTGTTTGGACAATGATGGTGGTGGAAACCAGTAACTGCAGCCTACAGTAAACAGAACATTTTTCATTAGTACAATCTAATCCTTCATTTGAATCACAGGATCATATCACATCTCAATGATGTGGTACACTGCAATGACTAATTCAAAACACCAGTGGCATGTGTTATACAAACAAGGACAGCTGCTGAGGGAAAAATGCACTTTCCACATGCTAAGAACTGCACAGTTAATTTGTTATAACACATAGTCCACACAGGAACTCCACTGTAATCAACTACAGATGCTTCTCCCTGCTCAATAAACAATAACTCTTTTGAAAATGATAATCCCCTCGAATAAGTAAGTGTCATGATGTAACTGGACACAAGATGGATCGATGGACGCCAATGGGAAAATCTGAACCAGCACTACATGGATGTGCATGGACATATGCATAGACACAGCTACAGGCCGATTTTAACAGGGCATCCCCAAACACTTTACAGTCAATGAAGTACAGTGGAATTGTATCAACTTGACAACAGAATTCTCACATTCCGGTAATCTAAACTGTAATTACTGCTCAGAGGTTTATTGAGCAGGCAGTTTACTGCTGGACAACTTCCTGAAAGTGTCATGATCCTGTACGAGACTGCCAAATTAATGATATAATCCAGTTAGGGACTGGTAATATATTTTTGTTTAAAATAGATGAAGTTTGAGATACCAGGTACTTATCAAAAAATAAAATCACAAGATTCTACAGTTTGATCAAATTAAATTTATCTATATAAAGTTAGAGAAGTAGAAAAATCCACAATATATACATTTTATACTCTAACATTCAAGGCTGATGACGTAAATATGAAAAGTTGTAGTCCCAATATCCCACAAACTGCAACTTAAATGGTCAATGCACTTAAATCGGAGCCCACTAGATTTTAGTGAATCTGTGGGGCACCAAATCTCTGACTTTTGAGAAGACTTTGTCTTCTTTGCAAAGAATTTCAATTCTTCATTGTCAAAATTCTAGATTTAGAAGCACCCTCAAAGCTTCTCCAACTTGGACTGCCTCAACAGTTGCTCATGGTAATTAAAGTTAAATTGGTTAAATACATTTAGTAAACTTTGAAAGGGTGTAAAACCTATTTACTCGTCTTTTTCCAAGCCCAAGCACCACCAAGACTCCTGAGACTGGTTTCAAATCTCTAATTACCTGCACAATTTCAGCTTTTGTCAAACAGCAAAATTCACTGATCAGGGTGAGTTGTGGGAAACTAACTGGGAATGCATTGGAATAATGAAGACTAGAGGTAACAAAGGAATGAATGAGGGTTTCAGCAGTAGATGAGTTGAGACAGGGATGTAACTTTTTACAGAAATTGAAATGAAAAGAGATGAAGAAAATACGTGGTTGTAAGCGATATTCCCTCTAAGCTGTGCAGCCACATCTGTGTAAGTTGACGTTGTTCCCAGCAGTGACTTCTAGCTCTGGTTAACCTTCCCTGCTCGTGAGGCAGAGATAATTACCCAACAACATCCTCATCTCATGAATAAAGAAACCATTCAGTTGGGTACCTTATGTTAGCAATCTTTGCCTGGTGGCCTGCAGCAACCCTTTAAGGCATGAACATGAATATTGCCAGAACATCTTTCCTCGGATAAGGAGGCCAAACTGTGTTCAATATTCCAAGTGTGGTCTCAACAACACCTTGTACAATTACAGCAAGACATTCCTGCTCCTGTACTCAAATCTATTCGCAATGAAGGCCAACATTTATTCGCCTTTTCACTGTCGGCTGCACCAGCATGCTTAGTTTACTTTACCAAACTGATTTCAGGGATGGCAGGACTAACGTTTGAAGAGAGACTCCATTGGATAGGACTATATTCACTGGAGTTTAGAAGAATGAAAGGGGATCGCATCCAAACCTATAAATTCTGAAAGGACTAGACAGGATAAATGCAGGAAGGATGTTCACGATGACTGGGGCGTCCAGAATCAGCAGTCACAACCTAAGGATACAGGGTAGGCCATTTATAACTGAGATAAGGAGAAATTTCTTCACCCAGGGAGTAGTGAGTCTGTGGAATGCTCTGTCACAAGAAGTGCAGGTAAATGGGATTATTGTAGTTTGGTTGGCATAGACATGGTGGGCCGAAGGGCCTGTTTCTATACTCTATGACTCGAATACTTACCCCTGGGGAGCTTCATTACAAACCTTCCTCCAGCCCAAAAAATATCCACTGATCATTACTCTCTGCTTTCTATCACTCAATCAACTTTGTATCCATGTTGCCACTGACCCTTTTATACCATATCCAACAGCTTTCTCAAGTCTGTTATGAGGCACTGTATCAAATGCCTTTTGGATATCCATGAATACCACATCAAAAGTGTTACCCTCATTGACCCTTTCCATTACCACTTCAAAAAACAAACTCTAGCAAGTTAGTTAAACATGATTTCTCCTTTAGAAATCCATGCTGACTTTTCCTAATAAACACATGTGACTCCCACTTCTGTTTTCTGTGTATTTTTATTCTCTTGTGGAACATGGGAGTCACTAACTGGGCCAGCATTTATGCACATCCTAGGTGCCCTGGAGAAGGTGGTGATGAGCTGCCTTCTTGAACCGTTGCAGTCAACATGCTGTGGGTTGACCAATAATGCACTTAGGGAGAGAATTCCAGGAACGCAAAATATTTGCAAGTCAGGATGATGAGTGGTTTGGAGAGGAATTTTCAGGTGTTGGTGTTCCCAAGCATCTGCTGCCTTTGTTCTTCTAAATGGATTTGGAAGGTGCTGTCTAAGGATCTTTAGTGAATTTCTGAAGTGCATCTTATAGACAGTACGCACGGCTGCTACTGAGCATCAGTGGCGAAGGGAGTAGATTCATGAGAATCTCTTCTGAGTGGCAGAGGTGGCTAAGACCAGAGGACATTAGTTTAAGGTGAGGAGCAAATGGTTTAGAAGAGATACAAGAAGGAATTTTTCACCCAGTGGGTGGTAGATATATGGGACGTACTGCTGACGGGGCAGTGGAGGCAAATACTCTCACAACATTAAAAAAGCATCTGCATGGGCATTTAAAATGCCAGGGCATAGCGGGCAATGGACCAAGTGCAGGTAAATGGAATTAGTGTAGTTTGGCATTTGTTGGTCGGTATAGACATGGTGGGCCAAAGGGCCTTTTCCTGTGCTGTATGACTATGATGCTAATCAAGTGGATGGCTTTGTCCTGAATGGTGTTGAACTTCTTCAACAGGTTGGAGCTGCACTCATCCAGGCATGTGAAAAATATACAATCACACTCCTGACTTCTGCCTTGTCGACGATGGACAGGAGGTTTGGGAATCAGGAGGTTAGTTACTTGCCACAGTATCCCTAGCCTGACCTGATCATGCAGCCACTGTATATGTTTCACACAGTGGTGCAGTGTGTACCATCTACAAGATGTTCTGTAACAACTCACCAAGGCTCCTTTGATAGCAGCTTCCAGGCCCACAACCTCAAGATTCCTAGAAGGACAAGGCCAGCTAATACACATGAATACCACCTGCAAGCCCCCCTCCAAGTGACACATCATCCTGAGTTCCTTCACTATCACTGGGTCAAAATTCTAGAACTTCCTTCCTAACATCAGACAGACTGCATAGGTTTAAGGAAGCAGCTCATCACTTTCTCCTGAGCTATTAGGGCTGGGCAATAATTACTGGCTACACCCATATCCCACAAATGTATGAAAAACACAGTTCCAGCAGAAAAATTAAACAGAGCGCATTTTTAAAAAAAATTCCTACCAGGATATCCAGTTAACAGCTTCCAGTTCCCAGATCGGATTGCAGAATGAATGGACACATTAAAGGTGGAATTCTGCCACTTTGTCAGTTCAACACCGGAGGTAGCATTTTGTTTGGACAAAACGGGACCTATTGGACGAAGAGAAGAGTTGAAACAGAGTATGGAATAAACATATCACATTGGATGTAAACCATCTTAATTCTGGCTTTAAAGCAACCAAACAAAACTGTGTCTACAGCACTCAAATACACACAGATGGGATTGCCTTTGGAAGGAACAATAACAGCATGAAATGCAATTTATGAATGCTACAGGGAAGAATAATTTGTACAGCTGCATTGAGTGATTCAGTTGATTTGTTCACTATCTTGGCCTGTATCCCGTTTAGAACACGTTTAGAATACATCTCACAGGTAATTTTAAAAAAAAATTACATTCACATTTTTCTTTTATCTTTAAGGCTCCTATGCAATGTTTTACAAACAATTAATTTAAAGATTCACATTGTATGAATACAAAAGGTTAAGAAAGGGGCAGCATGGTGGCTCAGTGGTTAGCACGGCTGCCTCACAGCAGGGACCCAGATTTGATTCCACCCTCGGACGACTGTCTGTGCTGAATTTGCACATTCTTCCTTTCTCTGTGTGGGTTTTCTCTGGGTGTTCTGGTTTCCTCACAGTCCAAAGGTGTGCAGATTAGGTGGATTGGCCATGCTAAATTGCCCATAGTGTTCAGGGATGTGCAGGCTAAGTGGATTAACAATGGGAGATGCAAGGTTACAGTAATAGGGTAGGGGGGATGGGTCTGGATAGATGCTCTTTGGAGGGTTGGTATGGGCTGAAGGGCCTGCTTCCACACTTAGGGATTCTATGAAAAATTTCTACTCTTGAAATCGCTCCTCCTATTTCCAGCAAAAAGAAGATAACCAGAGATAGTTTTTCTAAGATGATTCTGGCAATTGACTGACATGTTGCAAAGCTTTTCAAAGGATCAATAATATTCTATCATCATTTACAAGTGCACTCTTTCCTTTTCCTTTCTCTGTGCCCACGGCTCATTTTCTCAACTCCTTGCTTAGCTATGAGTACTGGGTATTTTTCAGTTAAATGTCTTCCTGTCCTCCCCTTGAGATGTATTCCACTTCTGATGGCGTTTCTATACATCCAATGGGATTGGCTACATAAAACTCCACACAATGTTTAATTTGCTAATCACTTCTTACGAATAGTTCCTGTCCTTAGATTCCTATCCAGCTCTTTTTTAGAGTAGCAGTTAAATGCTGCTGAGGCCAACACTTTAGGAACCTAACAAAGGAGAAATCTTTCACACCTCTATTAATCCTACCAATTTTGCACTTGGGTTTTGTTATCCTGTAACATTAGACTTATGTTATCCGCAAAGTTCTGCACATGTCTTCAAGGCCCTTGTGCACAATGAGAGCATGCTTAATGCCAGAAAGATGGAAGATTCATGAGCTAGAGGCAGCACTGGAGAGATTATGAGACCACTCATATATTGTACCAGAAAGAACTTAAAATTTCAACCCCAAGACTGTAGGATTCAACCAGGTCCACATCTGCTTCCATCACCTGCCAGGACTACTCCAAGGATCTTCTTTCTGGTTGCTGTACCCAAACAAGCTTATCCATAGCTTCTCTTCAACCACCACAGTCCGATTGGTATTATGGAAAGGTAAGTGGTCACAGTAAATAATACAGCAGGATTAAAATAACATGAACCCAACATACTTTGGTACCGTCCCCTCGGAAATAAAATCTGTCGCATCTACCTGGTCTGCCTTATCAATGGCTAATCTCTGGCCTACACCTGTGAGGTGAACTCCAAACTGCTCCCAGAAATGATCTAACAAACAAACCCGATTGTCAAAGCACCTCGGGATGGACTATAAATGTGCTCTTGCTAGTGCTACCCACATCCCAGGAACAAATGAAAGTAAATACCTCAAAACAATCAGACCACAATAACTACCAATTAAGAGAAACAGCACAGTACTTAACAAGAGGTGAATCAATGTGGTTGGGATGTTAAGTTTAATATTGAGCGCAGGGAAACATTAATAACCTTGGGGAGAAGAAGTGGATGAAGTAGACAACGGATTACGATTGAATTAAATGAATGTTGGAAAGCCAAAAATAACAATGCCTTGCATTAGAAGAGCAAGGGCTGGAGCAATGAGAAGGCAAAAGGGAAAATTAGGCAGGAGACAGAAAACCAGAAAAGATGTCGATCGGAATGCTGTTGTTACGGGAAGTATAAATAGCAATATTGCAATGGCTCAATTAAGGTATCAAGAATATGTGGATGAGATACTTTTAAATGTGCACAAGTTGTACTGTTTGGAACACACACACACACACACACAGACACACACACAAAACTGTACAAAGCCCTGTAAAATGCTGACTTTGTCTACGTTTTATTGTTTTTACATGTTTCAGACAGCCTGGGTTTCTCCTTCCCCAGTAATGCTCCCTAAGGCGTTTTCAAACTGATCTGTTTAAGATATTAGCTGTTGAAAGCTGTGAGGTCAATACCTTGGGAAAAGGGAAGTTACATTATGGAACACATTATCCAGTGTGTGACTGTTGTAAGAGTCATCTTACAGTAAGTGTTTTGGCAGCTTGCAAAATAGGAGCACAATGATTTCAATCATATAGTACTTCACTAAGTGGGAATTTGCCTTATTAGAGTAACAAAGATTAATGGGAAGAAAAAAGCAGAGCATTTCTTTCTGGCGCACAATAGAGGGACAGATCATGTTTTCTGAAAAATACCCTTTTTAAAGCTCGTACCCACAAATTATTTAGCACTCCACAACTGTAAAATTCATCTGAGCTCTACAAATCTGTTTAAAATTAAGTTATTTGCTTCACAGAAAACCATACTGTAGTCTCCAGACTAAGTTTGATCCCAGCTTTTTGCTTAGTGAACTCATCTTGCTCTAGAGATAGTGGGAACTTGTTCATCTCATCATGCTCAAGGCAGCCATATAGCTCCAGGAATTGGTCACAGCACCTCTGGGTGATGCAGGGAATAGTGTCTGTCAGTGGTTCCCATTTCAGAGCATAAACATAAGAAACAGGAGAAGGGGCAGACCATTCAAGCCTCAAGCCTGCCCTGCCATTCAACGAGATCGTGACTGATCTGCCCGAGGCCTCAAATCATCCTTTGTGCTGGCTCTTCATAGATTTTAGCTCAATATTTCAAAAATCTAACTCCCCTTTAAAATCTTTCAGCGATCTATGCTCCACAGCTTTCTAGGGTAGACAATTCCATATATTCTGTACCCTCTGGGAGCAGAAATTCCTTTGCATCTCATTTGAGTGAGTGTCCCCTTATTGTGTAACTATTTCTCCAAGTTTGAGATTCCCCCACTAGTGGAAACATCTCAATACTTACTCTGCCAGGCTCCCTCAGAATCCTGGATATTTAAAAAGCTCATCCCTCATTTTTCTAAACTCTGATGAATAAAGGCTTAACATATATTGTTTATACAAAACAAACAGAATGCTGGAAAAACTCAGCAGGTATGGTAGCATCTGCAGAGAGATAATCAGGGTTAACGTTTTGAGTTTCGTATGACTCATTTTCAGAAATGGAATTTGTTGGAAAATAGGTCCTTTTTTATATGTTTGGCAGAGGCAGAAGAGGGGCAGGAGGGAAAATGGTGCAAAAGACAAAAGCTGTTATTAATGGTGAAGATAGAAGGGAAGAGGTATGGAATGGGTGTAAATTAAAGTATGAAAATTGGTTTTCTCGACTAAATAGAAAGTAAACAAGACACGGCTACGAGACGGGGTAGTGGTGAAGAGAAAAGATGTATGAAAATTGGAGAACAGACATAATGCGGTCATTTTCTGAAGTTACTGAATTCAATATTGAGACCGTGAGGCTGTAAAGTGCCTTTGTGGTAAATTAGGTGCTCCATGAACTTATATTTTGCTTCATTGGAACACTACAGCAAGTCCAAGTCAGACATGCTTGCATGAGAGCAAGATGGTTTACTGAAATGGCAAGCAACTGGGAGATTGGGGTCATTCCAATGGACAGACCAAAGTTGCTCTGCAAAGCAGTCACCTAGTCTGCACTGGGTCTCATCAATGTAAAATGGACCACATTGTAAGCAGCGAATGCAGTAGATGAGATTGTAAGAAGTACAAGTTAAACACTGCTTCACCTAGATGATGTGTCTGGGGTCTTGGACAGTGGGGAGGGAGGAGGGGAATGAACAAATGTTACACCTTCTGCAAAGGCATGGAATGGTGTCATGGGAGAGTGAGGAATTGTTACGAGTGATGGAGAAGTGGGCCAGAGTGACATGGAGGGAACAGTCCCTGTCAAATGTTGACAGCCAAGGGGAGGGGAAGATGTGTTTGCTAGTGGCATCCTTCTGGAGGTAGCAGATATGGTGAATGATGATCCTTTGAATATGGTGACTAGTGGAATGGAAAGTAAGGACATGTGGAACCCTATCATTGTTCTGGGAAGGAGGGAAGGGGCAGGGCCAAACTGCTAGAGATGTGTCATACATGGCCGTAGACCCCGTCAATCACAGAGGGGTAGGGACTTGGGGTGGGGGTGGTAGGGGGAACCTTGGTTGAGGAAAAAGGAGGTCATGTCGGAGGCAACCCAGCAGAAGATGGCATTATCAGATGGATTTGAATGGAATCTTAGCAGAAAGCAAGCTGAGAGGAGCTGTTGTTGAGCTAACTGGAGTTGGAGTCAGTGGGCTTAATATGGATATTAATGGACAGCCTATCCTCAGAAATGGAAACAGTGAAGTCAAGACTTGCTGAGTTTTTCCAGCATTCTCTGTGTTTGTTTCAGATTTCCAGCAGTATTTTGCTTCAATTCCTGTATTTCTTATTGCTGCCCAATGACACGAGCTATAAAATATTCACTTGGATGTTAGGGTAATACCAGATCATGCCTAACTGTGAAGCTCCATATCTAAATACCTTTTGGAATAATTGAACTTTTATTTTGATTCATTCACAGGGTGTAGGTGTCAATGGATTGGGCAGTATTTAGTGTCAACCACAATATTGTGGGTCTGGAGTCACATGTAGACCAGACCAGTTAGGTGTTGCAGATTTCCTTCCTTAAA